AAGTATTAGTAAGTCAATCAAATTTTGGCTTAGATATTAAGGTAAGCAATAAGGTTCTAAACTTCAAATTTTTTTGTTAAAAAATTGTCTAACTGATCAATTCAATAAATAAATTTAAATTTGAATTATTAAACTTTTTACCCTTTTTACAAATGAAAGTCCAGATATTTTTTAAATTCAGAAAGAATATTAATTAGTTTATGGGGAACTAAATTTGAAATTAAATTACGGAGCCCGAATAAGACAGTATTGTTCAATAAAATTCGCAAAATCAATATGATCTCACTCTTTAATTGATCAAAAATTATTTTTTGCTACATAGCTTAATACTCGTATACATACTTTATTAAAATTAAATAAATATTTTACTCAACATTATATTTTAGGAATTTCTTCCAATTTTAGTTTCTCCTAAATTTAAATTATCTAATATTCAATATATTTAAAGTATTACTGAGCACAATTGTCCTTCGGTTCACTTGTAATACATGTACATACATATACAAATTAAATGAATAAGACAAGTGTAAATGTATTTATTTTTTTTTTTTTTTATTTCTAAATCTATAATGAATTCTAATTTAAAAATATGTTTATGCCAATCTTCTTTCAAATGTCCTTTTTGAAAAATATTTTTTATCTATAAATTTTCTATTTTTTTTTTTTAAGAGAACAGATGTTTGTGTCAAAGTTAATTAATTCTTCTAAATAAAATAAAATTATTTACAATTCTTTCTATGTTATAGAAAAATTTTTGTTCAATTTTAACTTCAAATCTATTATTGTCAGAAAGAAAAAAGTTAGTATTGTATTTCGCTTGAATTATTCGAGAAAAAGGAAAAAGACAAAAAATAACAATATTATTTCAATTACCATACAAATAACAAAGTGTTCTTGCTAAACCTGGCAACTATACATATTGGAAAAATGAAAATTATAAAATTGTAAAATAAATTATAAAATTTGCTACTGTTTGTTAAGAATGTTCCAATAATAAGAAGAAATATGGTTAGTCATGAAGTTTTGTGTAATTCTTTGTCGAAGTTTTGCATAATTCGCCTGATTCCTGAAATTGATTCAGATGCAAATATTTAATTTTAATGTGTATACGGTACTCTGTTTCAACCAGAATTGCAAAATTTGTTCACTTTTATCTTGTACACGACTTTAAAATTTAGGTTCGTACCTTCGCGAACTAAAAATCATCCTATTCGTTCTATTAATAATTTTAACTAATATTTTTCTTTTTAAAAACTCCGACACACTTTTATTTTAATTTGAAAAAATATTGACGTATTCCAATCTCAAATGACGCCACTTTATGTACTCAGAAATAAATGTTTGTCAGACGAATTTGAGATATCAATTTGGGTAGACAAACAGGAAAAAAATTTGTCTAAAAATAATTTATTTACGCTTTTCTACCATGGAGATAAGTGTTTCCACCGAAAAATCGACATGCGGGACCTGATACCATCAAATAAGTTCTCTTATTTTATGCAATGCGTTCGATAACATTTTTTCTCTCGTAAGCCCCTTGTCGTGTTTTTCAATTTTTGATTCTGCTACTTTCTTTGATAGATTTAAATTTCTAGCAGCAATAAGGTACACCTATGACATGAGAATGTTAAATAAAAACTTATTTAATTAAAATCATACTTTTTCGTAGACCCCCAGCAGGTTTTCATGGACCCCTGAGGATCTATATAGACCACTTTGGGAATCATTAGTCTAAACAATTGTTATGATATGTAGAAAGAAAAAGAAAGTCATTTTCTTTCTATAAATAAAGTATACTAATGGAATTCATTGAAAACTGTTTGTTAGGTTTCAATTTTAAGAGGGGGAGAAACAAGTAAAATAGATACCTTCCAAAACTACATTTTATGCAAAAAATCAGGCTTTCTATCATAAGTTAGAAGTTTTTGTAAACAAATAGACGAACGGACAGATTGAAATCAATGTTTAAGTTTCTTTTGAATTTTGTTGGAAATTATGCTTAAAAGTCAAAAACGTGATGTTCCATGCTTTGCAAATTAATTAAATTATCAATTATTTAAATAAATAAATAAAATTCTTTTTTTTTGTTGATTTTACAAAATATTGCCATCGCATAGAAAATATAATCTCATAATTTCTAGAATTTCTAATAGAAATTTTTCAAATAATTTCACTGTAGTATAATGGTTATAGCTATTTTATGTGGGAAATTTTATATATGAAAGTTTGATGCAAAAATAAATGAGAAATTCTGATATACAACAAAATATCAAATTAAAAATATCAGTAGAGGTAATTAATTTTACTAGAATTTTATTTTTATTGTTGTATTTTTAGTAATTACTCGATAGTAAATGAATAATGTTGTTACTGACATAAGCTTTTAAAACGATAATGAATTTTTAATCTAATGAAATTTCAATTTATTGAGTAAATGTTAGAATTTTATATTTGTATATTTTTGTAACCGTATATGACTTCGAAAATGTCTACATCGAATTCATTAAAGTTTTCCAATATAATTAAAGATTAATTAAAATTTTTCGTTAAAAATATTGGAACCTTATACCTATGTGTATATGAAAAATTAATGTGCATATTATAGTAAATAAATTTTTAAGGCAAAATTTTCTATTAATAGATTAGAATAATCTATTTTAGACTGTGGTTTAGATACAACAAATTTATTCTTTGAAAAACTTAAATTATTTTGAGAGTTTACTCAAATATGAAAAAGAGAATTTATTCATAGGAGAGAACATATGGAAAACTGATTATAAGAATAGGTTCTGATGATTCCTCGCAATTTGTATGAAAATATTGTTAAATAAATAGTTTAAATTTCCACCTATCACAGGTTTTATTAACTAAATACCAAATTTAGAAATAACTACAGAAATGTTTTAAAGCTTTGGCCCTCTTAGTTCAAGATAATCATTTTTGTAAATGCAAATTCCTAGATTTGTCACTATATGTAAAATAATTCAGTTTGTCTTTGAATTAGTACTTAAAGAGAATGATATAGGTACTTATATTAATTAAAATGACAATTTACGGTGAAAAATTAAAATGGCGAGAACGCTAATATATAATCTTCTACTGCATAATTGGTGAAACACCTAGTACATTCTCCTCTTTCACAAAATTATTTATACTATAGATGTATATTAAATTTAATCTATCAAATTGAAAATAAATTAGATCCTTAACATTGAAAATTTTTATATATAAATATTTTTTATAGAATTTCAATAAATCTTTTTATACCTATTATGTACAGATATTATTTTATAAGTGTGTGTGTGTGCATTTGTGCATTACTTATGAAAATTTCAATAGATATTTTTGTATAAAGATATTTTAAATTTAAATAAACTTATTTCTTTGTCAAAAACTAAACTTATTCTTAAATAATAACAAAATATATAAGACAAAATCTTTTACAGATTCCTACACGTACATATTATTCTGTACATCTATATGTATTACTATCAGTATGTGTATGTATGCATGTATTTGTTTGCTTGTTAGTTTATGTTAAGTATGTTTTACATTTTTCCTTTTAAATATTTTTAAAATAATGTTTACATTATAATATCAAAATAATTGAAATAAAAGTTTTCTGGCAAGTTATTATAAACTTCAAATAAATTTTTAATTAAAATATTTTACAAAAAATTATTTTCAATACCAAACTTTAATTTTATGTTATAAATTTTGAAAGTGTAATAATTTCAATGTTATAATAATAAATGACATGCATATATGTATATATTTTTTACAACTACGATAATTTTAATTACAATTATAACAATTGAATTATGGGAATGTATAGTTGTATACATATGTACATGTACATACACATATATTACTGAATTATTTTCGGTGTCTTAAAATGTCAAGTTATTAAAAATTAAAATTCTTTTGTTCTAATTTTCTGTTTTATACTATTCAACATCTTGAAGCTCTTCAATTTCATACCCTCATTTTTATAAATTATTTTCGTTGAAGGAGAAGATATCAAAAAAAGGGCGATTGCCAATAAAGTGGAAATTTTAGTACACCTCACAACAAAAATCGGCTTCACCCTCATTAACTTATTCCAGTTATTCGAGGTGTACAGAGATGTCATCCTCTTTGCAAAAATCTAAACAAAACTTTTTCTGCTCCTGCAGTTTCTATTTACAAATCGACAAAGACGTCGTTATTCGACACATCTTCTTTTCAATTTAGAACCAACTGTGTTAAATCAAAAGACCTCGGGAAGGGCCTTCTTATCCAATTTACGGTAGGCTTGTCTCCTTAATATATCTTACTTTAATATATTATTTGGAATTGAAATGTTTTAATTTTTGTATTTAATATTAATTTTTTCATTATCTTAGATCTAAACACATAATTATTATAACTGGAAATATTTACAATTAAATACAAATAAAGTGTATACAATTTAATCAAAAACAAAAATTTTCAATTTCCCTCATAATTATATTTTGTTACATATATGTACATACATATTATGTATATATATTAAATTGTATTTAAAATAACCACACGAACTTTATTGTTGATCGTTCAATGATAAAAATAATAAAATGTGTGGAGCTGTTTTACTTAGATAATGAAGATACCAAAAATTTAAATTTTTGTTTTTTCAACCAACAACATAAAACTACCAACATTAACCCTACATGTACATAGAATATTACATAATTAATGTTTTCGAAAGCCTACATAAAATTAATTGTTCAACAATAATAAAATTTCTAAAACAAAAAAAAATAAATTAAGGGTGCCAATATATTTTAAATAATTTATTATCTACTCATAGTTTCATTTAGAAAAAAATTAATTTATTGTTATCAGCAAATTTTCAATTTATTATTGAAAATAATATTTAATTATAATTTTATTTGAGATTTAATAAGCTTTTTAAATAATAACAGTAAAAATAAATTTTATTTATTTAATTTTTTTTCTCTATGTTCTTTCATTTGCAGGTGTTTTTTAAATGGTTCCACATTTTTAATTATGAACACCTCATATTGGTAAGCAAATTTAGATATTAAATTCAATAAAATATTTACTTGACTTTTGTACATTTTGTCATAAAAATAATATCATAATCCTATTTAGTTTAATCTGTGGGCACCTAAATTCGTGTTGTAATTATTATGTAATCGTGTAAATTATCATGGCAACCAAATAATGTAATATTGCAAATTTGTGTGTAATATTGCAAAATGACAAACATGCATTTTATTTAAACAGGCATTAAAAGAATTTAACAGAAAATCGTGAACATGTTAAAATGATAACTGTTTTTATAACTAAATTAATTATGATATCAATACAGTGGAGAAAGTGTTAAAATTGCTGTAAAATTTATTACCTTTTTACTGACCGTATTGCATACAATAAGAAAGGTTATGTGATGGCGAAAAAATTCGGATATCGAGCTTTTTATGGGCACGCACTTCTAAATATAGTAGGGAAGCTTAAAAAAAAGTTTGTCGGTCTATGTTTACAGGCCTGTATCTCAAATTCGGTTGAACCGAATTTTGAAATTTTACATGTTAGTTTCTTTTGGCAATTTTTGAAATACATCAGACCTCGGGAATTGAATCTTTTTGTGGGCCGATTTTGCATATATAAAAAGAAAAAATCAACTGATTCCCATCAAATTTGACTTTTAAATTCTAGGTGTGTCATTTTTTGGTAATATCAGGGCTCGAAAACTGAACTGATTATCAATTTTACATTTTTTACATATCTATGGAACAGATTGATGGAATTTCTTGAAATTTAATAATTAACTTCTGGTTGTTACAGAAACTAATTAGTGAAAATTTCAAGGAATTTGAATGGCATAAAGCGAGTCCCTACTAAGAGCCAAATTTATATTTTTCGAAGAACTTTAACTAAAAGCTTACTAGCGTCCTTAAAGTTGTAAAGAAGTGTTTAAAACACATAATCATAATCAGCGGGTGTTTCCTCTTAATTGTGAAATAAAGCTAGAAATAATTTTTGACCAAGCTTATAATTTCCAGGATTACATATCTTCTTTAAATATCGTTAAAAATTAAATTGCCGATTACAGTTTATTATTTTATTATTCTTTTGTTAAATCCTTCCATTACATACTTTTGGAGGAAAAAAAAATTTGAAAGAGTTATGAACATTATACAATAATATTATTGGCAGTAAATTGTTGAGTTTTTCATTTTGTAAATTACTAAATTGGCGGGAAAGCAATCATTACAAGGAAATCGTGATTGTTTTACCAAAACAATTTTAAAATTTGCCTTACAGAAAATTTGCCTAGAAGGCCTCTCAGAAATTGTGGAAGTAAGAAAAAGGGCAGACAACAATTTTTTTCTGAAAAAAAAATATTTTCTCACTAAGTCCGATTGCGTGAATTAAAAAAAGCATTTAAAAAACTCCTGTGTAAAAAACTTGTCTGGGAAATATTAAGAATTTCAAAGCAAATAATCACTTTTAACCTTAAAATAATTATTCTGAAATTATTTTTGAATGAAAATTTTAATTAAAATATCTTTTTAATTAAGACAGAGAGAAAAGAAAATACTTTTAATTATAAATTAAAAATGTTACAAAAAGCCTTTAATCAAATTTCCCTTTTTGTACACGACTCTTGTAAATTCTTTTAAAATCACCAAGGTCTACTTATTTAACTTAATTTCAGTAATGAAAATTTTGTAAGTAGTGGGATTCATAAAAGATATTATTTTCTTTTTGAAGGCTTAAATTACTTAAATGAAGAAATTTTTTAAAAGTAACAAAAATTTAGAAAGATTAATTCGTTCAATTCTTATAAATTTTTAACGTTAATGTTAGGTGAAACTGATCTTTGACATAAAAAGCATGTGAATTTTAAAACTAAATCATATGATATTTATGATTACAACCTAATTTTACAAAACTGAGGACTTACAAAAATTGAGCGTAATCTTATTTAATTTAAAAAGAAATACCTGAGTTATGACGCTAAAAGGATTTCTCGTAATTTGCATATTACATTTTAAAAGTGAAAATATATTGTAGGAATACTGGCGCTTTAATGTCCAACTTATAAAAATATTCGGAATGACGGTCTATCTTATTAACAAATTTTGTATGTGGAATGCAAAATTTGGTATTTATAATCATAACCTCATCATAGTATAATTTTATGCAAGGAGCCGAAACATTGGTTTATTCTAATTTCCGTTTTTGGTATGTTCAACTAAATATTTTATAATTTTTAAGTACAGTAATTATATTAATTGACTTTAACAGGATCTAACATGGCTCCAATGAGTGCCTCACATAAATGTATTTCTTTTGCATTTTAAACGAATTCCAAAATTATAAAGTTTATAATTAGAATTGTAATTTGAGTTCATCAATTAAGTATTATAATTAGGATTATGATATCATATTATTATTTTCGTGATTTTCATAATATCACTGCCACCCAGAGAAAAATTATGTCATCACGAAAATATAAAATGAAATTATAAGTAAAATTCACCTCATATGTTTTAGAGCCTGCAAAAGAAAACATAATTTAAAAATTATTTCTTGATTGCAATTAAATAATAGATCTTGACAGTTCAATGTAAAGAATCTAATCCTAAGCGATCATGTATAGTTGCACACAAATAACATACCTTTACACACAAGTCTACACCAATGTACTTATGTGTATTTATGTGTATGTAATAGGGGGCAAACACATAATAATATTATTATATACAAAGCAATTATATAACATTTTACTTGTTTGGAAAAAAACCGGATAGATTCTATTTAAAATTATGTTGTTTTTCTTTTATCTTATTCACTATAACTCCCTTTATAAGGAATTTCAACATAAAGGATTCTTATTAACTGGATATCTCTTTTCTGAATACATTTTTTTTTCATAACATTGCAGAAAATATTCTTGAAAAATGTTTTTATTTGATTTCTTAAGAAGTGGAAGTAAAAAATCATGATTAAATGAAAATAAACAGATTGTACACATTCATTTCACCGCCACTTATATTTTATATAAACAAAATTATGTAAAAGAAAAAAAATACATAAGGTATACTTTTGGTGCGGTTAAATATAATGTATAGGTAATACATAAACAGTAAAAGCAAGTTCAAGAAAAGATAGTCGCTTTGGGAATAGCTGCACAACAGGATTTTGTTTCCAAAATAAGAGAAGCACATAAAAAATGTGCAAATGTTTGAAATAACTGTGCAAAAAGTTTAGAAATAATTGATGTCATTTTTATCAATTACATAAATAGACAAAATTATTTCATTTTCAAAAATCACAGAATAACTGCAACAAATTTTTCTGCTACATTGTTGCTTGTGATTTACAATTTTCTTGTTCATGCCTGTGGAAAAACAAATGTATTTCAAATATATTATTGGAACCAGAGCAATATTAAAGTTCATTATCAAAAATTTTTAAATTGACTGTATTGTTTAATTTTGGACCAGAGCAGAGAATGTTGAACAATGTGAATTTTAAATTATAGGGCCCTATTATACCAACCATACCAACCAACCGTACTTAAAAATTGCTTAATTTTATTAGTATATAGTTCATTAGTATTTGGTTCTTCGTTTGTCAGTAAAGCGGAAAAAATGCAGTACCTTATTCAACCAGAAAATCTAAAGGGTACAACAGGCATTTAAAAGTAATGACTTTCACGATTGCACCTCGAAAAGTGATAATCAAATAAACTTCACGTTTCATATACAAATTATGTGGAACACTTTGCATTGTAATGTATAGGAACATTATCGTATATAATTACTTTTTCTACCTAAGAATAAAATCTTTATGTATATAGGAATGTTATGCATCTCAAGATAAACAGAATCCTTTAGTGTTCTTTAAAAAAATTTTTTTTTTCTTATAGCGCTGCGACTTTATTTTTTTCTTTTCTTTTCCTTTTGTATTCAAAACTCTGCTCCGTTCTTATTTCTTTTTCTTATATTTTTTGTTATTGCTTTCTATTTCATTTTGTTATATAGGGAAAATATTTTTCCATTATCAATTTGATTTTCTTTTCTTTTTATTTTTTTTTTTCAGTTTACTTTTTTTCTCATGAAAAGCTCAATCAAAAAATTCATTCGTGCATATTAAATTTACGTATAAAAATATCCTTTATATGATGATTACTTTGCCTTTATACGCATACACATATCCGTAAATTTATATAACATGCTAGGTATTTCACTTATTGTTATAAATAATTTGGTTACTCACATCTTAGGTAAACATATAGATTTAGGCATTTTTCTATATAGAAACAAAGTGGCCCATCAAATGACATTGCCAGATAAATGTTTAAAATTATTCTCAAGGAGTTTACTTAAGTCCCTTTTTTTGTTTGAAGAAGTTTGAGTTACATTAAAGGTTGTCAAAAGAAATGTTTTAAAAAAATTTTTTTTAAATTTTATCTTAATTATTTTTTACATTTATTTTTTTTTTAATGTTTTTATTTTTTAATTTAGAAATTTAAAATGATCAAATAATTATTTCTAATATAGTTTTCTGAATATAATTTATAATATTCAATATAATGAAACTGTCTGAAATCAACATGAAACACAAATGGGTAGAGTCAAAGCTGTATAAACTATTCTATACGATCTTGCATGAAAACATAATTTCGTAACTTCAGAATGAAAACTGTAATTGGATTTCATACAAGTATGACAGCAGTTTTTCAAAATAATTTATGTGCGCCTTAAATAATACTTCGCGATATGAGTAAATTTTTTACTGAAGTTCTGTAACAGAGTATTATTAAAGCTCTAAAATGTCAGAAGGATTTTTCAAAAATATTGGCTATATTACTAAACTCGCACGCGCGGAATTTTATTGTCCTGTTATCCAAATATTTTTTCAATGAAAACATAATTTTTTGTCATTAAAATTTCATAATCTCATAAATCATATGAAATTATAAAATCTGAATTTGCAAATTTCCGAACTAGGCCACCTTGCTTCTGGAGACTTTCAGTTTTACAACGAT